TGGGAACTGAACCAGTGGCAGCAACCGGACTCCTCCCCACCCATGCCTGAACTGGCTGTGGAGGAAGATGTGCTATCCTTGGCTGCCTCTGCCTCTCACTTTTTAGGTGAGGAGGACGGGCATTCATCTCAAGTCTTAGAGACAGCTTCACTTTCTTCTTCTCGGAGTGCAGTTAGTGGGTCGGGTGACGGCTCGATGCAGGACGTCATGCATATGGCCCTGAGACAACTGCAGCTGGACATCCCGCAACCAGAGGCGTCCACCCCTGGAAGTGCCTTCTTCAGGCGTGGACTGACCCCTCCTTCCTTTTCTGTCCCTCCATCAGAGGAGTTCCTGAGGGAGTTGCATGGTTGCTGGCGGGACCCCAAAGCCTTTGCGCGCCTCTCTGCAGATGGCCGAGTGTTGGCGGCCATGCATGAGCCGGCTGCAGCAGGCTTGGATCGCATGCCAGCGATAGAACCTGCTGTTGCCTCTCTCATCGTGTCACCAGAAGAAGCTCTGCGCAGTCATGTTCGGTGCCCACGAGCTCAGTGTCATGTCACGGATGAATTCCTCTGCAGAGCCTATGCCGCCGGAGCACGTGCTGGCCGCTTAGATAATTCCTTGGCACACCTAATGCTTGCCCTCTCCGCGTCCCTTCAGGGGACTAGTGGTGTGACAGCAGCAATGGTCTTTAACGATGCAGCGCTTCAGGCCTTTGCATTAATGACGAGGGAACTTGGGCGCGTGATGTCCTCCTTGGTCCAGGCTCGCCGACAGGTCTGGTTGGCGCAGTCAGCATTGACTGAGCCATGCCATAGAACCCTCCGTAATGTCCCAGTGGTGCCGGGGGAGTTGTTCGGTTTGGCTGCCTTGGAAGCACTAGAACGGACTGTCCAGGCACGACAGAGAAGGCAGCAATTTTCGAGCCTTAGCAGGGCAATGCCCCCTCCACCTCCTTGGCATCCAAGGTGCCTGTCGGCTGACTCCAGCATGCAGCCGCCGCCTGGGGGTCATAACCGGCCGGGTGGTCCTTACCCTCATGCGGTTCAGCAAAGGCCCAGCAGGAGCTTTCATGGGTCTGTCCACCGACCAGCTGGGCAGGCTCAGACCAGGGACTCTGGCTGCCACCCCTCCACGGCCTAGGGGCCGTGAAGGGAGACGGTGATGCCATCAGGCCGACCGTCAGATATTTCTCCCACCAGCAGCTCAGCTATTGGGTTGCTCACGCCGTGGACCCATGGGTGGTTGCCACTCTGACCCATGGTTACCGGCTACAGTTCCGACGGCGGCCTCGTATCTCATGCCGGGTCAAGATGACTGTAATCGCCAATCCGGTGAAAGCTCGAGCACTAGACCAGGAACTTTGTGCCCTCCTGGCCAAGGGCGCAATAGAGGCAGTGGACCCTCTTTAACAACCCAGGGGCTATTACTCGACTTACTTCCTCGTACAAAAGAGGACGGGCGGGTTTCGTCCCATATTAGACCTGAGGGGACTCAACCAGTACCTAAGGGAGCTACCCTTCCACATGCTCACAACAGCAGAAGTCCTTCAAGCTGTCATGAGGGAAGAATGGTTCACGTCTGTAGACCTGAAGGATGCATATTTTCATGTGCCTATTGCGGCAGAACATCGCCACTTTCTCAGGTTTGCCTGTCGGGGTCACCACTTGCAGTTCCGGGTACTCCCATTCGGGCTCTCTCTCTCCCCAAGGGTGTTCACTCGGTGCATGAAGGCAGCCCTCTCTCCTCTGCAGGCCTGCGGAGTGAAGATTCTGCCGTTCTTAGACGATTGCTTCTCTACGCCTCGTCTCAGGCATGTGCCTTTCAAGACACAAACCGCCTGCTCGCTCATATGTCCCAGTTGGGCCTCAACATCAACCTGGGGAAGAGCTGCCTGATCCCTTCTCAGACGACCACCTTTCTTGGGGTGGTTCTGGATTCATCTTCCATGAGAGCTCGCCCATCCGCTCAAAGGGTGGCCGGAATACTCCAGCTGGTCAATCGGTTCAGGCTGGGCAGGCAGCTCCCCTGTGTTGCCTTCCTGCAACTACTCGGCAAGCTGACATCAGTCACTCGGGTGGTGCCCTTAGGCCTGCCGCACTTCGCCCCTTGCAGAGGTGGCTCAACAGCTTTCGCCTAGATGCCAGGCTGCACAGGCATCGCAAGCTCGCAGTGACGTGGTCATGTCTTCATGCCTTGACTCCATGGAGGGACGAAGATTATTTGTCCAGGGGTGTCCCCATGGGAGTGGTAGTATGTCGCAGGGAAGTGGTCACGACAGATGCCAGCTCCATGGGATGGGGGGCTGTGTGGCAACACAGAGCGGTTCAGGGCCGCTGGGGTCAAAGGGACCACTCCAAGCATATAAATGTGCTGGAGCTGCGTGCAGTGCACTTGGCACTCAGGCACTTCCTGCCTCACCTGGAAGGGAGGCATGTTCTTGTTCGGTCAGACAACACCTCTGTTGTCTACCACATCAACCATCAGGGGGGCACCAGGTCAGCACAACTTCTGAGAGTGTCCAGAGAGCTCCTGGATTGTGCCTCTCCTCGCCTGTCCACCCTGCGGGCAGCGTACTTGCCAGGGCGACACAATCAGGTTGCAGATTTTCTCTCCCGCCAAGAGTCCCCTCTGGGAGAGTGGTCCCTCCACAGCGACATAGTGCTGATGATATGGGACCGTTTTGGTCAGGCAGAGTTAGACCTGTTTGCAACCGAAGAGTCGACTCAGTGTCCCCTATGGTACTCTCTTACGGGGGCATCGGGTGCGCTAGGCCAGGACGCATTGGCTCATCCTTGGCCAAGGGTCCTTCTATATGCCTTTCCACCCCTTTCTCTAATTTGGCCAACCCTTCAGAGAGTCCTCGAGGAGGGCCACAGGATGCTGCTGGTGGCTCCGTATTGGCCAGCGCGACCATGGTTCCCACTGCTACGAAGTCTATGTCAGGGCGTCCCATGGTGTCTTCCAACCAGAAGGGACTTGCTGTCTCAGTTGGGGGGACTGATATGGCACCCCAATCTTCAACATCTTTGGCTGTGGGTGTGGCCACTGCAAGGCTAGGACAGCAGCTGACTGGAGTTTTGAGCCCCGTCAGACGCACCATCCTGGGCGCTAGGGCATCCTCTACTCGTCAGCAGTACGAAAACAGGTGGCGCCTGTTTTCCCAATGGTGTTCTGATCACAACAAGGATCCAGTCTCCTGTACAGTACCCACCATTCTGGAGTTTCTCCAGTCTCTACTTGGTAAGGGTCGCTGTCCTTCGCCGCTTAAAGTTTATGTAGCGGCAATATCATCTAATCACGCTGGCATTGATGGCTGTACAGTAGGGAGCCATAATCTAGTCTCTCTTTTTCTGCGTGGTGCTTGTAGGTCACACCCGCCGACAGCTTCACGAGCACCAGGTTGAGACCTTCCCTTGGTTCTCGAAGCTTTGTGCCGTCCTCCTTTTGAGCCTTTGACGCAGGCGGACCTCAAGTGGCTTTCATGCAAGACGGCTTTTTTGTTGGCTATTGCCTCAGCAAAGAGGGTCAGCGAGCTACATGCTCTCTCAGTCAGCCCCTCATGTCTCAGGTGGGGCCCTGAGGGCTCGTGTGTTACCTTGTGGCCAAACATTGCATTTGTACCAAAGGTGTTATCTCACTCTCACTCTAACCAACCGTTGAGGTTGGCACGTTTTCAGCCTGCGCCTGGTGAGGGGTCTGCATTATTGTGCCCGGTGAGGGCACTGGAGGCATACGTTGCAGCTACTGCCGTGATAATACATTCAGACCAGCTGTTTGTGTGTTATAGAGGCCCTAGGTTAGGCTGTCCTCTTTCCAAACAGCGCCTCTCCCACTGTATTGTGGACGTCATCTGCCACGCCTATGCTGCAGGGCCCGGCCCCCCTGCCGGTCGGCTTGAAGGCTCACTCTACCAGGAGCGTCTCCGCTTCCTGGGCTGCCCTGAGAGGGGTTCCGCTGGAAGCAATATGTGCTGCTGCATCATGGGCTTCCCCAAGCACGTTCTCCAGATTTTATAGAGTTAACGTGGCCACCCCTCATCCCCTGGGCCAGGTTCTTCTACAAGGGTCCTCTGGGTCTCCTCAGTGAGGTAGGTGTTTAGGATTCCTTGTGACATCGTTGGTATTAGTCATTCAGTACTTTCAGCACCGCCCTCTGGCGGTCAGGAGGGATGAAATAGAACGAAAGTTACGTATGTAACTACGGTTCTATGAATCCCGGATGACCGCCAGAGCTTCTCCGTCACTCAGAATCCTTGCATTCCGCGAGAAGATTCTGTAGGAGCAGAGCAGCGGATGACGTCGGGCTATATAGCCTCTGATTGGTCATACGTGTCACACCTATGACGCTGTTGGTATTATTACTCGAACAGCGCATGCGCGAAGGGAACATTCAGTGCTTTCAGCACCGCCCTCTGTCGGTCATCCGGGATTCATAGAACCGTAGTTACATACGTAACTTTCGTTTTAAGTTATAAAGGTGTGGTGTTCTGATGATTTTAATCTGAATCATTGTCATGACGTGCTTATATTTTAAAGGAATGCTAGGTCTTCTATAAGTTGTGAATAGCGGAACAGTAGGGATGCAGCATTTGTAAACCTGTCCATGTCAGGTACAGTTGTGGAGCTGGGGAGTCCATCAGGGATGTGCACTCAGCCCTCTGCTGTTCTCACTGCTGGTATGGACATGCCCTCCTCTCCATCCAGGACCTATTCCAATGTTCACAGCTTCAGCCATCATTAAGGACTTCTTCCATAGATTGATCCACCTGCTATCATCAGGCAGGAGGTTCTGTAGCACCAAAACGTGTTGGAAAAAGTTCTGATACAGCTTCTTACCTCAGCTGTCAGGGTTCTTAAGATACACATTTGTTTTGTTTGTTTGCTTATGTTTATGTGTCTGTTTATGTCCTACTGGGGTTTGGACACAGTATTTTTGTTCATGTGCATACTGTATCTGTAGCAGACGGACAATAAAGCTGATTTCTAACTTTTTTTTGGTTTGTTTTCTTGTTACAGAATCAGCAGCGTCGGTCATCATCCCCAAGAAGAAAACGTGGTGTGTGTTGATTTTTGATGTTTGACAGAAAGCTGACACTGTCAGAAACATGTTTCTCCCCATGTTCACATCCTGTTGACAAATCTGTGCAAAGATAATAATAATAATAAAAACTTATTTCCTTTTTTAACATTAACAGGAGCAAAGAGGCGGTGTTGGAGGCACTGGCTTCAACTGTCAACAGAGTGAGACTTGATTCATTTTGTTGACAATTATTTTATGTCTGTTTTTTTTTTAAAGTAGAGTTGTTGTTGTTTATTTATTAATTTATTTATTGCCGTTCTGCTTCCCTGTAGGATCCTACAGTGTATCCCTACCAGTTCCAGGATGATGCATTCCTGTCCCCCAGGACGCCATTAGAGTTTGTACGTTTTACAACACACACACAAAGCATATATTTTAATCCTTAAGCCCCCAGTATACTCCTGCGTACGTCCATACGCAGAGGTACACACGTACGTACGCGGAGGTACGAGCGTACCCCCCAGGGCATGTCTGCGCAAAGCTCAGTTTTTATGACCGCGTACGCGGTGTTGCACAATAAACTGCCCAGCGAAGGACTGTTTTGTATGCGACACCAATGTATTAAATTCCCCTTCTTCATCCCTGATCTGGCCTTTTCTTTTGTTTTTTTGCCAAGAGGCAAGTGATCCCTTCCTCCTCCATTGATGCCATGATTGAAATGGTGACAAATGAAGGAATTTGTCACGTGCAAATTAAACTCAGGTCCAGCTTGGCTGCGGGAGGGTCTGGAGATTTCCTGGTGGGCTGGTTTGATGTGTGGGCTGCAGAGCCAGCACTCCCTGTTTTTTTTTTTTTTTTTAAGATCTTTTTATTAACAACATATAAACCAATATATCAATCCAGTAGGCGTGTCAGTAAATGACCAATCAGTGACCTCAATTTGATGACCAATCAGTGACCTCAATTTGTCCCGAAGGTAAACGTCCCTTGTCTGTGAAGCTGCTTTGCAGCTGCTCGGAGTGTACGCTCGAGTACGAAGTCTGAACCCTCTGCGTACAGTACACGCGTACGTACACGCGTACGTACATGCGTACGTACATGTGAACGGACGTACGCGGGAGTATACTGGGGGCTTTATTCAGACCTGTTAGTTTTAGTGGCATGATGAGGACAGAACAAGGACGCTGTGAGAGTTTAGTGACTGATGTGTGTCTTTGTGTCTCTGCAGAGGTTGTTCTCTCTCTCTCAGGAGTCTGGACGATCTGCAGCCAAATACTTCATCAAGAACAACCCACAACTCTTCACCAACGACATTGCAGAACCACACATACCAGTAAGAACCACACCGAGATTCACTGATTGTAGCAGAGACCGTTATCATTCGCTGTCTAAAGGAGAAGGCCAAAGAGAATGTGTGTGTATTCATATTTGTCTGTCAGTAAAATATTTGATGAAGCACTGCGCACACTTCAGTAATCATCTACAACTAAATCTGCAAACTTAAGACATTTGGACTTTGTAAATAACACGTCTGAGTGGATTATTTATTTGAATTCAGAATCTATTGTTTTCAGTTACCACCACTTCAAATGTTAGATTAATATCTATAAATGTGTCTGATTTATAGTGTTTTTTTCTTTTTAGCTAAGATGGCCATCTTGGATCATTGATTTACATCAGAAATGTTTAACAACTCGCTTTCAGCTACAACCATCGAGCTCAGTATCTCAAAGAATGACTGAGTTGTAGTCAGTTTTGTTTGTTTTCTGTGCGTGTTTGTCTGTGTGTTCTAGTGTCTGATGCCAGAGACAGCATTTCTGCAACTGGAGGAGGTGAGCGAGGAGGTGAGCGAGGAGGCTCTGAAGGTGCAAATCCACCTGAGGAAAGTGGCGGCTGCTGTTGACATGTTTGATCAGCTGCTGCAGGCTGGTGAGACCACACATACACACACACACCATCATGTTCTCTAAATGTTTCTGACTGCATTGCTTTCTGTTTCCAGGCACTGTGGTTTCCATGGAGACGGCCCATGAGCTGCTGGACCTCCTCTGTCTGTACGGTGACAAGGACCCTGTCCAAGATGGAGCACAGCAGAAGGAGGACACGGTGAGTCATCAGCACCTCAGGGAGCTGCTGGTTGGTTTTGGTGGACCCAGATTTGTCTGTCTGTTGTTCAGGATGAGGCGGAGAAAGACATGATGGAGCAAACGTCCGAGCCAACAGAATGGAGAGACGGCAACAATGCTGAGAGGATTTTCAACCTGCTGCCTAACAGAGACACTCTGTGTTATTCAGCTCTGATCAGAGGCATGGTGAAGGTACAAGCCCAGAGCCTGCAGCAGCATTCAGGGTGTTTCTGGTCCAGGATGACAAACTGGTGCTGTGTGTGTTTGTTCTGCAGTACAGAGCCTACACAAAGGCCTTCAGCATGTACAAGCAACTGCTGAGAAACGGGCTCTCAGGTGAGTGACACTCTTACACTAATATTAATAATCATTTATAATCTTTGCTTGTTTTGGTTCATAATGTTTACATAATGAGTTATTAAAAGTTCACGTCAATATAAAAACAACAAAAAACAATCTATGAGGAATAAAGAAAATACGTTTGTCAATATAGTTTCATACAACAATATTCTGGTAGCAAAAAAAACAATAAATACAACTAAATATATATTTTTTTCATTCAACCTTTATTTAGACAGGTAAATCCCATTGAGCCTCGAGGACTCATTTACAAGAGAGACCTGATTTCAACAAAGAATGATGCCAACAATGGACAACAGCAACAACAATAAACAGTTATAAAAAGTCATAATTTTTTTTTTTTTTACAAATAGGATGGCTAAACAAATAAAAGTAACAAAAAACAGCCAGATTCTAAGGCGAATGTAGAAAACTAAAAACAGGAACATGTCTGCATTGGTCCTTGCCAGGAGTCCAACAGATTCTTAAAGCCACTTAAAGAGGTCATGGTCGAGAGCTTCAGATCTTTTTGTAAGATATTCCAGGAAACAGGAGCGGAGTAGGAAAAGGCTTTTTTGCCTAGTTTAGTCCTCACTGAGGGAACACTGCAGGTAATAAAGTCCTGAGAGCGCACACTGTAGCTGCACTCACGCAGAGACATGTATGAAGGCAGCAGACCAAGAAGTGATTTAAAGATGAAAATGTACCAGTGGGAGAGTCTGTGTGAAGTTAATGATGCCCAGTTAACCAGTGAATACAGGGTGCGGTGGTGGGTACGATGATCACAGTCAGTTATGAATCTTAATGCACCATGATAAGCAGCATCCAACATCTGCAGAGTTCTTGTAGGAACGTTCATGTAAATAATGTCACCGTAATCATTGGAGGGAAGGAAAGTCACAGATACAAGGCGTTTCCTAGCATTCAGGATCTGTTTCTGAAAAAGAAACCCAGTTTAACTTTCAGTTTCTTTACCAAGTTTTCCACATGGAACTTAAGATCGTTTTCACACCAGATAGTCCGGTAGACTCGGTTCGGTTCGGGACCAATATTCATGACCTTTTGTTTACATTTGAGCTGGTGCGTTTGCATTCACACTGCACTGTGCAGTCCAGGCAACCCGTTGAACCAACCTATTCCCCCGCTTGCCTGTGACGGCGCTGCACCAAGAACTACTGAAAGAAACAACACAAAAACCTCTGAAGACACATCTTCTTCTTCTGTAAATAAAAATAAAAACGAAGTGGCATCAAGTTTTAGCAGTTTTAGGAGTTATATTTTGTAATTTTTCAAAAATGGACTTAGCATGAGCAGAAGATGAGACAGAAGACCATGGAGAATATTGTTTTTCACACAAGGCAGCTGACGGCTTCATATAAGGTAAGAGCAATGCGTGTTTGTTTGCCCTGCGGAGCGGGGCTCCGTCTGTTTACATTCACACTGTACTCGAACCGTGCTGGAGTTCGCTTCTACCGGACCGAGACCTAGGTTTTAGCCCGGGCCAGAGTTCGCCTTTTTGTTCCGTGACAGAGTTCGATGGCGCGTTCACACCTCCCTAAACGAACCGGACTTTCTAGGAAAACGAGCTAGAGTTCGATTAAAGCAGACTAAACAGGGCTGGTGTCTAAAATCTAAAAGAGAGATGCGAGTCGACCAAGATACCCAAATATTTATAGGAATCAACAAACTCATCGGGACACCATTTGAGGATGAAATCAGAGGAAGAACTGCTGGGACCAACTTCCTATTTGAAAAAAGCATCCCTTTGGTTTTGTCGGCATTTAGGACAAGTTTGAGGTGTGGAGATGGCTCTAAATATAAACAATTAATGCAACAACAAAATGTAAATATATTCAACTAGAAAAAATAAACAAGAACAGCAGCAAGTTTTAAATGCCAGGACTGGAGTTCAGACATTTTACTGTTTGGTTGGATGGAATAGTGGGTGAAGAACCCCGGATCAGTCTGGACCACATTAGACCCTTCATGGAGCTGTCCCCGAAACTCTCCTGTCACATTTCCATCGTTGTCCCCGAGACGCTTCTGTCACGTCTCCATCGTTGTCCCCGAGACGCTCCTGTCACGTCTCCATCGTTGTCCCTGAGACGCTCCTGTCACGTCTCCGTCATTGTCCCTGAGACGCTCCTGTCATGTCTGCATCATTGTCCTCGAGACGCTCCTGTCACGTCTCCATTGTTGTCCCCGAGACGCTCCTGTCACTTCTCCATCGTTGTCCTCGAGACGCTCCTGTCACGTCTCCATCGTTGTCCCCGAGACGCTCCTGTCACGTCTGCATCGTTGTCCCCGAGACGTTCCTGT